ATACCACCTTAATATTGCATACTGGGAGAGTATATACCACCTTAATATTGCATACTGGGAGAGTATATACCACCTTAATACTGGATACTACTGGGAGAGTATATACATCCTTAAAACTGTATACAACTGGGAGAGTATATAGCACCTTAAAACTGGATACTAGTGGGAGAGTATATAGCACTTTAAAACTGGATACTGGGAGAGCATATACCGCCTTAAAACTAGATCCTACTGGGAGAGTATATATACCACCTTAAAACTGGATACTAGTAGGAGAGTATATACTACCTTAAAACTGGATACTACTGGGAGAGTATATACCACCTTATACCTAGATCCTACTGGGAGAGTATAAGCCACCTTAAAACTGTATACTGGGAGAGTATATACCACCTTAAAACTGTATACTGGGAGAGTATATACCACCTTAAAACTGGATACTGGGAGAGCATATACCGTCTTAAAACTAGATCCTCCTGGGAGAGTATATACCACCTTAAAACTGGATACTGGGAGAGTATATACCGCCTTAAAACTGGATACTGGGAGAGTATATACCACCTTAAAACTGGATACTACTGGGAGAGTATATACTACCTTAAAATTGGATACTACTGGGAGAGTATATACCACCTTAAAACTAGATCCTACTGGGAGAGTATATGCCACCTTAATATTGCATACTGGGAGAGTAGTTCAAGTTCAAGTTCAAGTTCATTTATTTGTATAGCACATTTAAACAGCCGCTTAGACAGACCAAAGTGCTTTACAGAACACACAAATAAGAAAAGTAAAAACAGCAAAAACAACCCCTAAAACACATAAAAAGCAGCAGAGCTACGAAAAGCCTTAACAGAGATTCAAATATAAAATCGTAGAAATAAATGAAAAAAAAAGAGATCAATAAGCTAAAGAAAACAGGTAGGTTTTTACCAAAGACTTAAAGATAGAAAGGGTGGGGGCTGTTCGGATCTCTAGAGGCAGGGTGTTCCACAGACGAGGCCCTGCCACTGCAAAGGCACGCTCCCCTCTACGCTTAAGTCTGACACGAGGGACAACCAGCAGAGCCTGGTCGTGTGACCTTAGGCTTCTGGACGGAGTATAGGGATGAATGAGTTCGGATAGATAGGCTGGAGCTAAGTTGTGTAAAGATTTAAAAACAAATAGGAGGATTTTAAAATCTATTCTCTGCCGGACTGGCAGCCAGTGTAACGATTTAAGAATCGGAGAGATATGGTCGTATTTGCGACAGTTAAGGATAAGTCTGGCCGCAGCATTTTGGACCAACTGAAGACGGGCAATTTGAGAAACTGATATCCCACAGTAAAGTGAATTGCAATAGTCTAGCCGACACGTGATGAAGGCATGAACCGCCATTTCCAAAGTTATTGGAGTAAGAAAGCCTTTGATTTTAGATAATAAGCGAAGTTGGTAGAAACCGGAGCTGATGACAGCTGATATGTGTTTGTCAAATTTTAAAGACTGGTCAACAAGAACACCTAAGTTCCGCACTCCTGTAGATTTAAAGGGAGATAGACTCCCCAAGTCTGGGCTTATGTACTGGGACCTTCACTCGGGCTAAAGACAATGACCTCGGTCTTATCATCATTTAGAGAGAGGAAATTTTGAGCCAGCCATGCCTTTACCTCCTCTAGGCATAGTAGAAGAGAGTTTAACGCTGCAGGGTTATTTCTTTTAAATGGAATGTAAATGTGGGTGTCGTCTGCATAAAGATGAAATGATACACTGTGTTTCCTTAAGATAGCGCCCAGCGGTAGCATGTATAGAGAAAATAGAGAGGGAGCCAAAATGGAGCCCTGTGGAAGACCACAGGTTAGAGGTGCCATGGAGCTGGAGAAATTACCCATCTTAACTAAAAACTTTCTGTCAGAAAGGTACGACTGAAACCATGACAGGACAGAAGCTTTTAGGCCCACCTCAGTCTCAAGTCTAGCCAACAGAGTAGAGTGGTCAACAGTGTCAAAAGCTGCCGAAAGGTCTAAGAGAACTAGAACCACAGAATCACCCGAATCAGTGGAGATAAAAATATCATTTAGCACTCGCAGAAGGGCGGACTCAGTGCTGTGGGCAGTCCTGAACCCAGATTGAAAAGCCTCATAGATACAGTTATTTGAAAGAAAGTGCTGAAGTTGATTAAACACGATTTTCTCCAATAACTTGGAAATAAAAGGCAAAACAGAGATGGGTCTGTAATTTTGTAAAATAAAAGGATCCAGTGAAGGCTTCTTGAGCAAAGGAGTGACCGTAGCCACTTTAAGATTAGTTGGAACAGAGCCCGTATTGAGACACTTGTTAAAAAGAGATACCAAACCTGGACCCACAGAGTCGATGATTAACTTTAGAAATTTCGGCTGAATGATATCATTTGGACAAAAAGAAGGTTTGAGCTTGGTGCACACATCCTTTAGTGTCTGGAGGTTGATAGGATCAAAAACCTCCCAAACACAAGTAGTAGGTGACACGAATGAGGGGAGAGTTAAGTTAGGGCAAACACTAAGTCTTAATTTAGTGATTTTGTTCACAAAAAATCTCTGGAAATCTTCACATAAAGCATCAGAGGCAACAGATAGTTTAGAAGAAGGATTTATAACAGACTGAATGACTGAAAACAAGACCTTTGGGTTGGAGTGGTTGGACTCAATTAAGTTAGAGAAATATGCAGCTTTAGCTGACTTAGCTGCCTTCTGGTATGCTGTAAGAGCGTCTTTGAACAAATGGAAGGAGACAATCTGCCTGTCTCGCTTCCATTTGCGTTCGGCCGCTCTACAAATTTGTCTATGATGACGAGTGTCAGAGTTTTGCCACAGATTAGATTTTGGTTTGGATATGTGAGGCTTGAAAGGAGCAGTCACGTTAGCTACCTTAAGCCAGGCAGAATTTAAGAGGCTGAAGTGTTGATCCGCATCCAGCTCAGATAGTGGTTGGTCCAAGTCCAAGTGTGAACATAGTTCAGCAAAGCACAGGTCGAAGTTAGTGCTGAACTGAGGAGAGTAGACTCGCGACATAACAGGTGCAATAGTGGGTTGAGAGAGCTCCGGGAGAGACAGTGAGAATAGAATAGGCTTGTGATCGGAGAGCAGACAATCAGAAAATACAATATCAGTGACATCGATCCCGTAGGATAACACAAGGTCCAATGTATGGCCCTGAATGTGCGTAGAGTTTTTGACCCACTGCAGTAGATTAAAAGCATCTATTAAGTCAAGAAACTCCTGCGATAGGGAATTTGAATGACAACAGACGTGAATATTAAAGTCTCCCACCAAAAGGAAGCGATCATAGTTTGTTGCAATACTGCCAATGAACTCAGTAAATTGCTGTATAAAATCATTAGTGGAGTGTGGAGGACGATATATCACCCCTAAGCAGATGGGACCATTCCAGTCAAGGTGGAGAAGCTGAGATTCAAAGCTGGGGAAAGCCGTTACAGTGACTAGCCGGCAGCGTGAGGAGAAAGAGTTGTTTAAGACAGTTATAATCCCACGACCACTCGGACGAGGAGAGTTAAAAAAAGAACAGTTTACTGGAACCAGTTCTGAGAAAGGAGTTAAATCACCGACCTTTATCCAGGACTCTGTGATGAACATAAAATCCAGGTTGTGTGAGGATTAGAAGTCTTTTAATAGAAAGGTCTTATTCACCGCAGAGCGTGCGTTGATTAGTGCCAGTTTGGGTGGAGGAATAATCACGTGAGATGACGGCGCCTTTCTCAACGAGCGCAGATTTCCGTGATTAACTCCGTTCTGCCGGGAGCAGAGGCCAACACTGCGGAGATCAGCCCGAATGACAGGACTCAGATGTAGGGGGAAAACAGGACGAAGGCATCGGTAAACCGCATCCCGCGGGTGCCAGGCAGCAGTGCTGCGCCGAAGCAAACTGCCAGCTTGTAAAAGAGTCTTCAGTTTCGTGATGTAACCTCCGCGTGTTCCTCGTTTCCTCTTTCGCTTTCTCCGCGCGGTGGTTAGTGGCCGCCACCAACAGATATCATGCTGGAGAATCGCTCGGGGAGGCTCGTCCGAATTGTGTAGGGGGCAGCCCACGTCCACGGTGTCTAAGTTGGTAAGTGAATCGCCAACAGAGATACGGATGTCTAGGAGAGCTTGACGGGCATATACTAGCCGCGAACAGCAGATAAACGACAGATCATATATACCACCTTAATACTGGATACTACTGGGAGAGTATATACCACCTTAAAACTAGATCCTACTGGGAGAGTATAAGCCACCTTAAAACTGTATACTGGGAGAGTATATACCACCTTAAAACTGGATACTGGGAGAGCATATACCGTCTTAAAACTAGATCCTCCTGGGAGAGTATATACCACCTTAAAACTGGATACTGGGAGAGTATATACCGCCTTAAAGCTGGATACTGGGAGAGTATATACCACCTTAAAACTGGATACTTGGAGAGCATATACCACCTTAAAACTGTATACTGCGAGAGTATATACCACCTTAAAACTGGATACTGGGAGAGTATATACCACCTTAAAATTGGATACTGGGAGAGCATTTACCACCTTAAAACTGTATACTGGGAGAGTATATACCACCTTAAAACTGGATACTGGGAGAGTATATACCACCTTAAAACTAGATCCTCCTGGGAGAGTATATACCACCTTAAAACTGTATACTGGGAGAGTACATACTGCCTTAAAACTGGATACTGTTATTAATTAGGCCTATATTATATATTCCAGCAATATGCATTCTCTTTCACACTATGCATGCAATGAATATTTCAAATTTCAGAATGCAAATCATATGATTCATGTATAAAATGTGCAATATAGATAAACTTGCTTTGCCTTACTACTGTTGCTGCAAGACCTCACTATAATGGAGATGATGCGGTGATCATGTGACCCGTGTACCTGGTGATGATGCGCTGATCATGTGACCCGTGTACCTGGTTATGATGCGGTGATCATGTGACCCGTGTACCTGGTGATGATGCGGTGATCATGTGACCCGTGTACCTGGTTATGATGCGGTGATCATGTGACCCGTGTACCTGGTTATGATGCGCTGATCATGTGACCCGTGTACCTGGTGATGATGCGGTGATCATGTGACCCGTGTACCTGGTGATGATGCGGTGATCATGTGACCCGTGTACCTGGTGATGATGCGGTGATCATGTGACCCGTGTACCTGGGTTATAGTGGAATATGATGTTGAGCAGGTCTTGGTCTCCCCAGGTGATGTTGAGCTTGTATTTGTTGAGCAGCGGCATCAGTAGATCAGCCCACTTCAGACTCACTGCTGCCACGTCATTCTGTGACACACACACACACACACACACACACACACACACAGTGAATGACTCTCCTTTTTCTCCTGTATTCATCAGTCCAGCAGATCAATCATCTGTGTGCATGTTTGTATGTTAATCATGACTCTTGCTCAGTCTCATGTGTGACAAATACATGAATGAATGAACCACTTCTGTAATGAGAAAACACATCATTCCCTCCGAGCGACAGAGGAGCGACAGCGCCATCTGCTGGAGACGCCCACACACACACACACACACACACGTTTATCAACATCGAGATTTAACATTATATATAACCTATATATTTATATAAACAAATGCATGTGTTAGAATTTAGACATTTATTTAAGAGAAAGTGTATACATTGAGATACTGATTATTGGCAAAATCTGGTTTCCCTTTGAACTGAGTTTATTTTTCTGAGTGCACTGGCAGATATTTGGTCTTGTTTTAAGCACAAGTGAAGTGTGTGTGTCTGATGCGTGTCACGAGGCTCTGACCTTGAAGTGTGTGTGTCTGATGCGTGTCAGGAGTCTCTGACCTTGAAGTGTGTGTGTCTGATGCGTGTCAGGAGTCTCTGACCTTGAAGTGTGTGTGTCTGATGCGTGTCACGAGTCTCTGACCTTGAAGTGTGTGTGTCTGATGCGTGTCAGGAGTCTCTGACCTTGAAGTGTGTGTGTCTGATGCGTGTCAGGAGTCTCTGACCTTGAAGTGTGTGTGTCTGATGCGTGTCAGGAGTCTCTGACCTTGAAGTGTGTGTGTCTGATGCGTGTCACGAGTCTCTGACCTTGAAGTGTGTGTGTCTGATGCGTGTCAGGAGTCTCTGACCTTGAAGTGTGTGTGTCTGATGCGTGTCAGGAGTCTCTGACCTTGAAGTGTGTGTGTCTGATGCGTGTCACGAGTCTCTGACCTTGAAGTGTGTGTGTCTGATGCGTGTCAGGAGGCTCTGACCTTGAAGTGTGTGTGTCTGATGCGTGTCAGGAGTCTCTGACCTTGAAGTGTGTGTGTCTGATGCGTGTCACGAGTCTCTGACCTTGAAGTGTGTGTGTCTGATGCGTGTCAGGAGTCTCTGACCTTGAAGTGTGTGTGTCTGATGCGTGTCCTGAGTCTCTGACCTTGAAGTGTGTGTGTCTGATGCGTGTCATGAGTCTCTGACCTTGAAGTGTGTGTGTCTGATGCGTGTCAGGAGGCTCTGACCTTGAAGTGTGTGTGTCTGATGCGTGTCAGGAGTCTCTGACCTTGAAGTGTGTGTGTCTGATGCGTGTCACGAGTCTCTGACCTTGAAGTGTGTGTGTCTGATGCGTGTCCTGAGTCTCTGACCTTGAAGTGTGTGTGTCTGATGCGTGTCAGAAGTCTCTGACCTTGAAGTGTGTGTGTCTGATGCGTGTCAGGAGTCTCTGACCTTGAAGTGTGTGTGTCTGATGCGTGACCTGAGTCTCTGACCTTGAAGTGTGTGTGTCTGATGCGTGTCACGAGTCTCTGACCTTGAAGTGTGTGTGTCTGATGCGTGTCAGGAGTCTCTGACCTTGAAGTGTGTGTGTCTGATGCGTGTCAGGAGTCTCTGACCTTGAAGTGTGTGTGTCTGATGCGTGACCTGAGTCTCTGACCTTGAAGTGTGTGTGTCTGATGCGTGACCTGAGTCTCTGACCTTGAAGTGTGTGTGTCTGATGCGTGTCAGGAGTCTCTGACCTTGAAGTGTGTGTGTCTGATGCGTGTCACGAGTCTCTGACCTTGAAGTGTGTGTGTCTGATGCGTGTCACGAGTCTCTGACCTTGAAGTGTGTGTGTCTGATGCGTGTCCTGAGTCTCTGACCTTGAAGTGTGTGTGTCTGATGCGTGTCACGAGTCTCTGACCTTGAAGTGTGTGTGTCTGATGCGTGTCCTGAGTCTCTGACCTTGAAGTGTGTGTGTCTGATGCGTGACCTGAGTCTCTGACCTTGAAGTGTGTGTGTCTGATGCGTGTCAGGAGTCTCTGACCTTGAAGTGTGTGTGTCTGATGCGTGTCAGGAGGCTCTGACCTTGAAGTGTGTGTGTCTGATGCGTGTCAGGAGTCTCTGACCTTGAAGTGTGTGTGTCTGATGCGTGTCACGAGTCTCTGACCTTGAAGTGTGTGTGTCTGATGCGTGTCCTGAGTCTCTGACCTTGAAGTGTGTGTGTCTGATGCGTGTCAGAAGTCTCTGACCTTGAAGTGTGTGTGTCTGATGCGTGTCAGGAGTCTCTGACCTTGAAGTGTGTGTGTCTGATGCGTGACCTGAGTCTCTGACCTTGAAGTGTGTGTGTCTGATGCGTGTCACGAGTCTCTGACCTTGAAGTGTGTGTGTCTGATGCGTGTCAGGAGTCTCTGACCTTGAAGTGTGTGTGTCTGATGCGTGTCAGGAGTCTCTGACCTTGAAGTGTGTGTGTCTGATGCGTGACCTGAGTCTCTGACCTTGAAGTGTGTGTGTCTGATGCGTGACCTGAGTCTCTGACCTTGAAGTGTGTGTGTCTGATGCGTGTCAGGAGTCTCTGACCTTGAAGTGTGTGTGTCTGATGCGTGTCACGAGTCTCTGACCTTGAAGTGTGTGTGTCTGATGCGTGTCACGAGTCTCTGACCTTGAAGTGTGTGTGTCTGATGCGTGTCCTGAGTCTCTGACCTTGAAGTGTGTGTGTCTGATGCGTGTCACGAGTCTCTGACCTTGAAGTGTGTGTGTCTGATGCGTGTCCTGAGTCTCTGACCTTGAAGTGTGTGTGTCTGATGCGTGACCTGAGTCTCTGACCTTGAAGTGTGTGTGTCTGATGCGTGTCAGGAGTCTCTGACCTTGAAGTGTGTGTGTCTGATGCGTGTCAGGAGTCTCTGACCTTGAAGTGTGTGTGTCTGATGCGTGTCCTGAGTCTCTGACCTTGAAGTGTGTGTGTCTGATGCGTGTCAGGAGTCTCTGACCTTGAAGTGTGTGTGTCTGATGCGTGTCACGAGTCTCTGACCTTGAAGTGTGTGTGTCTGATGCGTGTCACGAGTCTCTGACCTTGAAGTGTGTGTGTCTGATGCGTGTCACGAGGCTCTGACCTTGAAGTGTGTGTGTCTGATGCGTGTCACGAGTCTCTGACCTTGAAGTGTGTGTGTCTGATGCGTGTCACGAGTCTCTGACCTTGAAGTGTGTGTGTCTGATGCGTGTCAGGAGTCTCTGACCTTGAAGTGTGTGTGTCTGATGCGTGTCACGAGTCTCTGACCTTGAAGTGTGTGTGTCTGATGCGTGTCAGGAGGCTCTGACCTTGAAGTGTGTGTGTCTGATGCGTGACCTGAGTCTCTGACCTTGAAGTGTGTGTGTCTGATGCGTGACCTGAGTCTCTGACCTTGAAGTGTGTGTGTCTGATGCGTGTCAGGAGTCTCTGACCTTGAAGTGTGTGTGTCTGATGCGTGTCACGAGTCTCTGACCTTGAAGTGTGTGTGTCTGATGCGTGTCACGAGTCTCTGACCTTGAAGTGTGTGTGTCTGATGCGTGTCCTGAGTCTCTGACCTTGAAGTGTGTGTGTCTGATGCGTGTCACGAGTCTCTGACCTTGAAGTGTGTGTGTCTGATGCGTGTCCTGAGTCTCTGACCTTGAAGTGTGTGTGTCTGATGCGTGACCTGAGTCTCTGACCTTGAAGTGTGTGTGTCTGATGCGTGTCAGGAGTCTCTGACCTTGAAGTGTGTGTGTCTGATGCGTGTCAGGAGTCTCTGACCTTGAAGTGTGTGTGTCTGATGCGTGTCCTGAGTCTCTGACCTTGAAGTGTGTGTGTCTGATGCGTGTCAGGAGTCTCTGACCTTGAAGTGTGTGTGTCTGATGCGTGTCACGAGTCTCTGACCTTGAAGTGTGTGTGTCTGATGCGTGTCACGAGTCTCTGACCTTGAAGTGTGTGTGTCTGATGCGTGTCACGAGGCTCTGACCTTGAAGTGTGTGTGTCTGATGCGTGTCACGAGTCTCTGACCTTGAAGTGTGTGTGTCTGATGCGTGTCACGAGTCTCTGACCTTGAAGTGTGTGTGTCTGATGCGTGTCAGGAGTCTCTGACCTTGAAGTGTGTGTGTCTGATGCGTGTCACGAGTCTCTGACCTTGAAGTGTGTGTGTCTGATGCGTGTCCTGAGTCTCTGACCTTGAAGTGTGTGTGTCTGATGCGTGTCAGGAGTCTCTGACCTTGAAGTGTGTGTGTCTGATGCGTGTCACGAGTCTCTGACCTTGAAGTGTGTGTGTCTGATGCGTGTCACGAGTCTCTGACCTTGAAGTGTGTGTGTCTGATGCGTGTCACGAGTCTCTGACCTTGAAGTGTGTGTGTCTGATGCGTGTCAGGAGGCTCTGACCTTGAAGTGTGTGTGTCTGATGCGTGTCAGGAGTCTCTGACCTTGAAGTGTGTGTGTCTGATGCGTGTCAGGAGTCTCTGACCTTGAAGTGTGTGTGTCTGATGCGTGTCAGGAGTCTCTGACCTTGAAGTGTGTGTGTCTGATGCGTGTCAGGAGTCTCTGACCTTGAAGTGTGTGTGTCTGATGCGTGACCTGAGTCTCTGACCTTGAAGTGTGTGTGTCTGATGCGTGTCACGAGTCTCTGACCTTGAAGTGTGTGTGTCTGATGCGTGTCACGAGTCTCTGACCTTGAAGTGTGTGTGTCTGATGCGTGTCCTGAGTCTCTGACCTTGAAGTGTGTGTGTCTGATGCGTGTCACGAGTTTCTGACCTTGAAGTGTGTGTGTCTGATGCGTGTCCTGAGTCTCTGACCTTGAAGTGTGTGTGTCTGATGCGTGACCTGAGTCTCTGACCTTGAAGTGTGTGTGTCTGATGCGTGTCAGGAGTCTCTGACCTTGAAGTGTGTGTGTCTGATGCGTGTCAGGAGTCTCTGACCTTGAAGTGTGTGTGTCTGATGCGTGTCCTGAGTCTCTGACCTTGAAGTGTGTGTGTCTGATGCGTGTCACGAGTCTCTGACCTTGAAGTGTGTGTGTCTGATGCGTGTCAGGAGTCTCTGACCTTGAAGTGTGTGTGTCTGATGCGTGTCACGAGTCTCTGACCTTGAAGTGTGTGTGTCTGATGCGTGTCACGAGGCTCTGACCTTGAAGTGTGTGTGTCTGATGCGTGTCAGGAGTCTCTGACCTTGAAGTGTGTGTGTCTGATGCGTGTCACGAGGCTCTGACCTTGAAGTGTGTGTGTCTGATGCGTGTCAGGAGTCTCTGACCTTGAAGTGTGTGTGTCTGATGCGTGTCAGGAGTCTCTGACCTTGAAGTGTGTGTGTCTGATGCGTGTCACGAGTCTCTGACCTTGAAGTGTGTGTGTCTGATGCGTGTCAGGAGTCTCTGACCTTGAAGTGTGTGTGTCTGATGCGTGTCACGAGTCTCTGACCTTGAAGTGTGTGTGTCTGATGCGTGTCACGAGTCTCTGACCTTGAAGTGTGTGTGTCTGATGCGTGTCACGAGTCTCTGACCTTGAAGTGTGTGTGTCTGATGCGTGTCAGGAGTCTCTGACCTTGAAGTGTGTGTGTCTGATGCGTGTCAGGAGTCTCTGACCTTGAAGTGTGTGTGTCTGATGCGTGTCACGAGTCTCTGACCTTGAAGTGTGTGTGTCTGATGCGTGTCAGGAGTCTCTGACCTTGAAGTGTGTGTGTCTGATGCGTGTCAGGAGTCTCTGACCTTGAAGTGTGTGTGTCTGATGCGTGTCAGGAGTCTCTGACCTTGAAGTGTGTGTGTCTGATGCGTGTCCTGAGTCTCTGACCTTGAAGTGTGTGTGTCTGATGCGTGTCACGAGTCTCTGACCTTGAAGTGTGTGTGTCTGATGCGTGTCAGGAGTCTCTGACCTTGAAGTGTGTGTGTCTGATGCGTGTCAGGAGTCTCTGACCTTGAAGTGTGTGTGTCTAATGCGTGTCAGGAGTCTCTGACCTTGAAGTGTGTGTGTCTGATGCGTGTCAGGAGTCTCTGACCTTGAAGTGTGTGTGTCTGATGCGTGTCAGGAGTCTCTGACCTTGAAGTGTGTGTGTCTGATGCGTGTCAGGAGTCTCTGACTTTGAAGTGTGTGTGTCTGATGCGTGTCACGAGTCTCTGACCTTGAAGTGTGTGTGTCTGATGCGTGTCACGAGTCTCTGACCTTGAAGTGTGTGTGTCTGATGCGTGTCAGGAGTCTCTGACCTTGAAGTGTGTGTGTCTGATGCGTGTCAGGAGTCTCTGACCTTGAAGTGTGTGTGTCTGATGCGTGTCAGGAGTCTCTGACCTTGAAGTGTGTGTGTCTGATGCGTGTCCTGAGTCTCTGACCTTGAAGTGTGTGTGTCTGATGCGTGTCACGAGTCTCTGACCTTGAAGTGTGTGTGTCTGATGCGTGTCAGGAGTCTCTGACCTTGAAGTGTGTGTGTCTGATGCGTGTCAGGAGTCTCTGACCTTGAAGTGTGTGTGTCTAATGCGTGTCAGGAGTCTCTGACCTTGAAGTGTGTGTGTCTGATGCGTGTCATGTTCATGAGCATGACGCCGGAGTTGAGGCCGGTGTGGCCGTGGTACGGGTGCCGGGAGAAGCGGTTGTACCAGCCGATGCGCGGCTCCTCGTGTTCGGGGGCCATCGCCGCCACATGGGTCCCGTTGAACGCCGCCAGGAGCCGCCACACGTCCTCCACGGCGCGCAGGAACAGCACATCCGTGTCCACGTACAGCACTGAGTCCACATGCTGCAGGATCAGCTGAGCAAAGACAATATTTTTAAAATAATAAAAATAATCAGCTGAGAAAGACACAAATATATATTTTTTGAAATAATAAAAAATAATCATTAAAAAATCAGCTTAGAAAAAGAAATTTCTTTTTGAAATAATAAAAAAAATCATCTGAGAAAGACAAAAATATATATATTTTTACATAATAAAAATAATAATTAAAAAATCAGCTGAAAATAAATAATAATAAAAATAATAATAAAAAACATCAGCTGATAAATAAATAAAAATTACATTAAAAATTAAATTAAAAATAATAAAAAAAACAGCTGAGAAAAAAAAGAATATATATATATATAGCTGTGAACGAGGCCGGTCGCTTCAGAGGCTCAGGAGGAAAATGATGATTTCCACAAAGTTCTGCTCTGGATTCGAGACGCGAACTTCAAAGAGTCGCAGACAGATCAGTGGCAGAGCGACACCACACATCAGGCGGCCGGCGGCAGGAAGCTCACTTCGGCTGAAGACGCATATTGCCAATTGAAAATATATTTATCAAGGAAATAGAGAGTAAAGTTTATTCCACTTAAAGTGTGTGTGTGTGTGTGTGTGTGAATCTGCTGGTTCAGGGATGAAGAGTCTCTGAGCAGCACAGGGCTTGAAGAGCCTGATGAAGTGTGTGTGTGTGTGCTGTGTGTGTGTCGTTCTGCTGGTTCAGGGATGAAGAGTCTCTGAGCAGCACAGGGCACCATGCGCTGTTTTGTTCTGATAATTGTTTGAGTTTTTCGCGTTCGTCTTATCTGTCTACATCGGTACTTAAGTACAATCGTCAAGTTTTGTTAGACATCGGCAGGATTAAGGAAAACAACACTTTGGATATCGTACACGCAGCGACAATCAAGAACCTAGGATTACGCCACTGGCCTGAGATCACACCGGACTCCACTGTTACTTCTATCCGGGAAAGGAGGCGCCGCAAGCAGTGCGAAAAGGAAGCAGAAGAGGGGTAAGCGCGGAGGCATCCAAGCTAGGCTAAAGGCTAATCCAACTCGCCCAGCCATACCATCCATTCTCATGGCTAACGTGCATAATAAAATGGATCACATTTGACTGCTAAGATTGCCACAGCGAGATGTGAGGAACTGCTGTGTGCTTCTTTTCACCGAAACGTGGCTAAATGATAACATCCCCGACTCCGCTGTGCAACTGGAGCAGCTAGCATGCTATCGAGCAGACAGAGCCCTCGAAAATGGAGAAAAGACTCGTGGTGGAGGGGTCTGTGTTTACATCCGTGATGCCTGGTGTCGGGACGCTGTGGTGGTATGTACACACTGCTCATTATTGGCGGAGTTTATGATCATAAAGTGTCGTCCTTTCTATCTGCCGGGGGAATTTACAGCGATTTTGTTAGTTGCTGTTTACATCCCCCCCACCCCTAACAACAGCGACAGGAAAAGGGCACTCGTGAACTGTCTCAGGCCATCTGTGAACAACAGACAGCTCACCCTGATGGATTTACCATTCTCGCAGGAGATTTTAATCACGCTGATCTTAAGACTGTTTTTCCCAAACTGGACCAGCATGTTGACTTTCCAAAAAGGGGGGATAATATCCTGGACCTGGTTTATACAACTCATAAAGGAGCATATAAGGCCTCCCCACTCCCCCATATTGGACACTCCGATCACATCACTGTTTTGCTTATGCCAGCATACAGACCAAGAGTGAAAGTCACCAAACCAGTTCTGAAGCAGGTACAGGTGTGGCCGGAGGGGGCTTCCTCTGCACTTCAACACTGCTTTGACACAACAGACTGGGAAATGTTCAAGCAGGCAGCCACATATAATGATCACACAGACATTGAGGAGTATACGGACACGGTCACATCTTACATCAGTAAGTGCACTGATGATGTGACACACACAAAAACCATCATCACTCGGGCTAATAAGAAGCCATGGCTGACAGGGCATATCCATCGACTGCTGGGGGCTAGAAACAAAGCCTTCAGGGCAAGAGATGAAATTGGCCTGAGAACAGCGAGAGCCGACCTGTCCCGTGGCATCAGGAAAGCTAAACAGAAATACACAAACAAGATAACCCATCATTTCAAAGACAGCAGAGATACACGGAGCCTGTGGCAGGGCATTCAGACCATTACGGACTACAAACCCGCTCCACAGACCTGCGATAATAACATCTCTCTGCTAAATAACCTCAACAGGTTCTTTGCCAGGTTTGAAGCACAAAACAACACACGGCCACAGAAGATCCCACCTTCTCCTGACGACCAGGTTCTGTGTCTGTCTGCCGCCAGCGTGAAGAGAACACTCTCCACTATTGACACTCGCAAGGCAGCAGGTCCAGATAACATCCCGGGTCGTGTGCTGAAGGATTGTGCAGAGGAGTTGAAGCATGTCTTCAGGGATGTCTTTAACACTTCTCTGAGACAGGCTGTTATTCCATCATGCTTCAAGACCACCACCATCATACCTGTGCCAAAGAAACCTTCTCCATCTTGCTTTAATGACTATCGCCCTGTGGCACTGACCTCCATCATTATGAAGTGTTTTGAACGGCAAGTCATGTCACACATAAAATCCATCCTCCCACCTACCCTGGACCCTTTCCAGTTTGCATACAGAGCCAAACGCTCAACAGAAGATGCAATCTGCTCCGCTCTCCACCCAGCCCTTACTCACCTGGACTCAAAAGATTCATATGTGATTTTAGATTTGAGTTCAGCATTCAATACCATAATTCCACAACAACTCATTCACAAATTAGACCAGTTGGGGCTCAACAACTGGCTGTTGGACTCATAGACTGTAAAAAAAGATGGACGACGCCCCTTCGCTCTTTTCCATTGGAGAGAACTGAAGCCGCCAGAGTCCCGATATGGCGCTGACATATTGGAACTTGAGTCTGCGCAGTAGCGTTTTCGGGACCAGTCATGCGCAGTCGTGAGCAGGAAGTAAAGCCGCGAAATCAAGGCCCCGCCCCCACTCTCGCTGAATCAATCGTAAGCACACGCCCTGCACTTTTCTTAAGTGGCCTTGTCTGCTCCGTTCCTCTACAATGATGTCTGCTGATTGCAGTACCTCGTTAAAATAAGGTAAATACAACTACTAACCACATAGTCAACATTATGAAAAACAGTTTGTTGGTGCTTCAGTGACTACTTCACACAGAGAACCTGTCAATCACAGCTGTCAATCATGATGTCACAGCACCGTTTTTATAGCATCAAATAACTAACTAAAAACTAACTTATTTTAAAAACAAACACTTGAAATTACATCAACGTGATAGAAACTACAGTAAATGACAGAAACTATCTTTAGAAAAAAGATATGTGAAGTGTAATTGAATTATTTAGTTGGTCTCACGTCCCGTTGAATAACATGGGGAGGCGGGGCTTATGAGCTATACTAGGACCGGTCACCGGGGGGCGATCGAGACGTTTTGGCTTCACTTTTGAGGGCTTGTGCGGCACGCTTGGTTGGACTTCCTCAGTGAGAGGCCACAAGTAGTACGAGATGGCAACAACACCTCGAGCAGAATCACACTGAACACAGGGGCCCCTCAAGGCTGTGTGCTCAGTCCCCTGCTCTTTACTTTGCTGACTCATGACTGCACACCAACTTACAGCACAAATCACATGGTAAAGTTTGCAGACGATACAACACTGGTGGGACTCATCACCAAGGATGATGAGACCCACTACAGGAAGAAGGTTAGTATTTCTTTGTATGTCGGGTATATGTGAAGAAATTGACAATAAAGTTGACCTTGACCTTGAAGAGGCTGATGAAGTGTGTGTGTGTGAGCTGGTCCAGTCACTCACAGGGATGAAGAGTCTCTGAGCAGCGCAGGGCTTGAAGAGCCTCTTCCACTCTCTGGCGTTCTCACTGGGGAAACTGACGGGATACACACTGTAGAGGAACCTGGAGCGAAACCTGCGGGGCCACGACTCCAGCTGCAACACACACACACGAGTGTTAATCCCCAACCCTGCGAATGCAGATGCAGTGTGTGTGGCGGCAGTGGAGCTCACGGCGTGTGTGAAGCCGGCATGCAGCTCGTCCTCTGCGAAGATGTGGAAGTGCAGATCTCTGCGGCTGAAGAGCACAGCAGACTTCAGCATCGTCAGCGTCTCCTGCAGACGAGGCCCACACGCCACCACCGCCAGGCCCACCGGGTCCCAGCCGGACCTGCACAGGCCAGAGGTCAGAGGTCAGCACACAGGCCAGAGGCCAGCACACAGGCCAGAGGTCAGCACACAGGCCAGAGGTCAGCACACAGGCCAGAGGTCAGCACACAGGCCAGAGGTCAGCACACAGGTCAGAGGCCAGAGGTCAGCATAAATGCCAAAAGCACAGGTCAGCACACAGGTCAGAGGCCAGAGGTCAGCACACAGGACAGAGGTCAGCACACAGGTCATAGGTCAGCACACAGGTCATAGGTCAGCACACAGGACAGAGGTCAGCACACAAGTCAGAGGTCAGCACACAGGTCATAGGTCAGCACACAGGACAGAGGTCAGCACACAGGTCAGAGGTCAGCACACAGGACAGAGGTCAGCACACAGGTCAGAGGTCAGCACACAGGACAGAGGTCAGCACACAGGACAGAGGTCAGCACACAGGTCATAGGTCAGCACACAGGACAGAGGTCAGCACACAGGACAGAGGTCAGCACACAGGTCATAGGTCAGCACACAGGACAGAGGTCAGCACACAGGTCATAGGTCAGCACACAGGTCATAGGTCAGCACACAGGTCATAGGTCAGCACACAGGACAGAGGTCAGCACACAGGTCATAGGTCAGCACACAGGTCATAGGTCAGCACACAGGTCATAGGTCAGCACACAGGACAGAGGTCAGCACACAGGTCATAGGTCAGCACACAGGCCAGAGGTCAGCACACAGGTCAGAGGTCAGCACACAGGCCAGAGGTCAGCACACAGGACAGAGGTCAGCACACAGGACAGAGGTCAGCACACAGGTCATAGGTCAGCACACAGGACAGAGGTCAGCACACAGGTCATAGGTCAGCACACAGGACAGAGGTCAGCACACAGGACAGAGGTCAGCACACAGGTCATAGGTCAGCACACAGGACAGAGGTCAGCACACAGGACAGAGGTCAGCACACAGGTCATAGGTCAGCACACAGGTCATAGGTCAGCACACAGGTCAGAGGTCAGCACACAGGCCAGAGGTCAGCACACAGGTCAGAGGTCAGCACACAGGCCAGAGGTCAGCACACAGGACAGAGGTCAGCACACAGGTCATAGGTCAGCACACAGGACAGAGGTCAGCACACAGGTCATAGGTCAGCACACAGGACAGAGGTCAGCACACAGGACAGAGGTCAGCACACAGGTCATAGGTCAGCACACAGGTCATAGGTCAGCACACAGGTCAGAGGTCAGCACACAGGCCAGAGGTCAGCACACAGGACAGAGGTCAGCACACAGGTCATAGGTCAGCACACAGGACAGAGGTCAGCACACAGGTCATAGGTCAGCACACAGGCCAGAGGTCAGCACACAGGACAGAGGTCAGCACACAGGTCATAGGTCAGCACACAGGACAGAGGTCAGCACACAGGACAGAGGTCAGCACACAGGTCATAGGTCAGCACACAGGACAGAGGTCAGCACACAGGACAGAGGTCAGCACACAGGACAGAGGTCAGCACACAGGTCATAGGTCAGCACACAGGTCATAGGTCAGCACACAGGTCAGAGGTCAGCACACAGGCCAGAGGTCAGCACACAGGACAGAGGTCAGCACACAGGTCATAGGTCAGCACACAGGTCAGAGGTCAGCACACAGGTCATAGGTCAGCACACAGGCCAGAGGTCAGCACACAGGTCAGAGGTCAGCACACAGGTCATAGGTCAGCACACAGGCCAGAGGTCAGCACACAGGACAGAGGTCAGCACACAGGTCATAGGTCAGCACACAGGTCATAGGTCAGCACACAGGTCATAGGTCAGCACACAGGCCAGAGGTCAGCACACAGGTCAGAGGTCAGCACACAGGTCATAGGTCAGCACACAGGCCAGAGGTCAGCACACAGGACAGAGGTCAGCACACAGGACAGAGGTCAGCACACAGGTCATAGGTCAGCACACAGGACAGAGGTCAGCACACAGGTCATAGGTCAGCACACAGGACAGAGGTCAGCACACAGGTCATAGGTCAGCACACAGGACAGAGGTCAGCACACAGGACAGAGGTCAGCACACAGGTCAGAGGTCAGCACACAGGCCAACAGCATAGGTTCAGATGACAGCACACAGGGCAACAGCACAGGTCAGAGGTCAGCACACAGGCCAGAGGTCAAAGGTCATCACCGGCTGGGAATGATGTACGTTCACATGGAGCTGGTTCTGTAAACCCCGTCCAGCTCCACACACTGTGAACAGAGCTGAAGCCCGACCCACGGAGAGCGTACCTAGGAGCCGGGTCCGTCCAGCAGGGTCTTCGGCACACCGGAGCCGGGAGTCTCCCGTACGGCGTCCAGCGAGAGACCGGGTCCGAGTTACACCTGACGGCACACACACAGCCTCTTCATGAACACCTTCAGCTCAGCATCAGCAGGGTTTCAGTCAGAGACGCACTACACACGTCTGTCACCGGAGAATAATCAGCCTGAACCCAGACTAATGACAGGCTACTGCATAACACAGGGGTATTAGAGCTGGAGTCCAGGGAAGAGTTTAGAAATATACTGTGTAAAAAAAATTATATATATATATATATATATAAATTAATACAATACAACAATATATCAAAATAATTTTGTTCACATTTTTGGTTGGTTGTTTTTAAATTGTAGTACTTTGGGATTTTGCTTAAATATAAAGTGCGTTACAAATAATGCATTATTATTATTACACAAATAATTATATTAAATAAACTAAAATAAATAAATAAATAATAAAAAATAGATAAGCATAAGTAAACGACCAAAATTTGATTAAAATAAATAGATTATAAATAAATAAATCTAAATAGTCCTATGTTATAAAAAAACATGTAACTTAATAGAAACTAAATATTTTCCAAATAATATTTTAAATTGGTACAGTTTTTAAAATTAGTATAAATTGGGTCTTTATATATAAATATATAGCTGCTTTTTCACATGATGATGATGATCCTATATGGATAACATCTACAAAAAAAATTTAAAACCGCTGTACTAACAACACAAATAAAGTCTAATCACCGGTGAAAACACCATAAATAATAATGATGATGATAATAATAAAATGTAAACCTGTCTTTAAGGGGAACTATTTCACACATCTGTCAAAATGAACTCAAGATGACCCGACTCCTGAATATTAATTACATAACATGACGTTCACCCTGTAGGCGTCGCTGATTGGCTGAAAGCCAGACCAGTAGGCGGGCGTTAAATCAGCGGGCGAATTAACGGCTACTACTATGAAAGAAGCTTATGAATATTAATTAGATATAAGCCGAAGTTAATCAAGAAACGTCAGTGTGACCAAATTAATATCCATTAGTACACAATAAGGCTAAATGACCAGAAATCCATCCCAAATAACTATTGAAATTGACAACTCAAATAAGCCTGAAATAAGCACTAGCCGCACTATATTACCTGCTTTCGTTGAGAATTCCCTTATTTATAACGACTGCCTAGTCATTTTACATAACAAACCCGTATTTATGAGCTGTATTATGTGTTATCGTGACGTAGTTAGTGCAGTAAATGTGTGTAGTGTTGTTGTGAGGTTGATTTTGAACATCGAGTGTGGTTTTGTTTACATACATGTCATCGTGCGCGCGTGTCCGCTGCGCTCGCGCCTGTTGATTCACGCTCTCCAGTGACGACACCGGCTGATTAAATATGTAGAGCACTGAGAAGAAGACTAATAGCGTGCAGACGAACAACACACGAAGATACCGCAGCATTTTGTAACTAAAAGAGCAGCCATGGAGATATAAATCACGCTGCTCGGTTCAGCGCCCTCGACTAGCCTATGGCGGAGGCGTGCTCATGAATATTAATGAGGTGCTTCGAAAACTTCCTGGAGCCTTCAGTCACGTGACCACGTTTTGTCCAGTAAAGGGTAAAGGGTTGAGGAGCCGACCAATGACAAGTTCCCAGCATGCTCCTCTCATGAATATGATTAAATACTCGCTAACTCTGCATTATATGTTCATAAATACACACTACTATCATTACATATAGAGAAACTAGCTTATATCACTGATATATGACAATATTTATCAAATGTTAAAGGAAAGCAAGAGACTTCAGTGTGTAACCAGCGCACAGAAAGCCTGTAGCTCGAATAGGATCAAATCAATGACTTTAAACTCACTGATCCTTCTGGTTCTTACAATGTGATGACTGGTCTGTTCATGCGTGTGTGTGAAATGTGCAACCGTTGTTACGACTGAGCACATCGACCTTCTGATCCAACAACCAGAAAACAATCTTTGACTTTAAAATTATCTTATTAGTCTTGACGACATTTTTTATTTTAAAAATTGCGCAATTGTTAGACTTGTAGAAGGTAAAGCCAAGACTTCAGTGTGTAACCAGCGCACAGAAAGCCCGTAGCTCGAAAAGGATCAAATCAATGACCTTACACTCACTGATCCTTCTGGTTCTTATAAAGTAATGATTGGTCTGATTGTGTGTGTGTGTGTGTGTGTGTGCGTCGACCTTCTGATCCAGCAACCAGAAACTACAAAAACCATGATAGAAAAATTTGCTCAAGTTGAAACAAGTAATATATGATTTGTTAAATGTAATATATTAACATCATTTGCTATGGATGACTTTCAGCTCTCACTGTATCATTTGCTTGATGAAGTGATTCAGTGATTCTCAGCGCCACTCTGGCGACTCCTGCTGGTCAGATCAGTGTAATTACAAGCAGAAACATGCAGGAAAACACCTTTTACAAACAACTGCTAATGTTTCATTGAAGCTGTAATCCATTTATTGCAATTAACAAATCATACAACATCATTAAATATGAGGGATCTTTATAATACGTGATATTATATTAAATTGTAGGATTTGTATTGTTTGTTTTATAGACTGCTTCATTAATCAGACCAATAAGAGACTTTTAAATACAACTCTTCCTTTTTATGATACAAACGTGTCATGAAATGTGTACAAATGGTAAAAAAAAACCTTATAAATTTCAGTAAGAAAGAGGTTGCTAATCATTTTAATACTTCACAGCTGGTCTCAAATCTTCAACCTGGATTATTTAACAATCATGCTTGATAAACTTGGAGCGCTGCCTAACTCGTTTTCCTCCAGGGGAGATGGGAAAGCTATGACAGGCACTGCTCTGGGGCCCTGGGTTAGACGGGCCCTGGGTTAGACGGGCCCTGGGTTAGACGGGCTTTTTACCCAAGTATGTTTTGTTAAAGTAACACACATATATTTCTTTTACCACCAAAACACTATTGTATTGCATTTAATTAACTTAACCTGTCACTCAAAAAAAATGACTCTTTAAACTTACTCAATTTAATTATGGACAGTGGTTCCACACAAGCACATTATTTTTTATTAACATTAATGGAATTTGTTGAATCTATGTAAGCTCCTTGTGTTGTGACAACACAACTGAATCAGAAAGAATCTATGTGAATAGTAATGTCCAAACAAATCAATGGAATTGCTTCCCTGTAACTGATACAGACTTAACTGAACCGATATAGACTTCAATTTTATTCATTACACATGAAGAAAAACAACTTTGTGTTTAAATTCCAATCCGGGTTTAGGAAGTCACGTTGCAGAATCATGCCTACTCTATTTATCCGGCATCATATGCAGGGACATAGAGGATGGGAATATGTGCTGGATGGTGTCATTGGATCTTCAAAAGGCATTTGATACGGGGAATCATGACAGCGCCACCTGCAGGCGGTTTAGATCTTACCTCTCAGCGAGGGAATATAAAAAACAAAAAATACAAGGAAGTATTCTCGGACCGTCCTTATTTAAATTATTTATTACTTATTATTAATTAAGGTAGGCCATTAAGACTTTCCAAGTCCGAGAAACAGGGCTCAAGTCTCGAGTCATTGGTGTCAAAGTCGAGTCTCAAGTCTTCAAATTTGGGACTCGAGTTAAAGTGATGCGACTCGAGTCCACAACTCTGTGACGTGTAACGAAGCTTTGTTTACTGAAATCACATGACTTTGGCAGATTGATACACACTCCGAATCAAATGATTTGCAAAAGTGAATGTGTGTGTGAAGTTTCAGCTCAAAATATCCCACAGATCATGTTTATACAATGTTGGAAATGCCCATTTTTGAGTGGATAGAAAAACATGCAGTTTTCATGCATGTGTCTTTAAATGCAAATGAGGTGCTTCTGCTCCGCCCCCTTTCCAGAAGAGGGCGGAGCCTGTACAGCTCGTGCTTCTGATACTCTGCCGAAAACTAAAACATCTGTTTGGTTTTGATGATCGTCTCTATCGCCGTCACACACACGTAACACTGCAGTTCTTCCTCTTCATGATAGTTTATTATTAGTTTTTAAGTCTTCAGTCTACACTTCTGATTTATGGTTTTCTGAGCCACACATCGAAGCACGCGCACAGATAGCTGGATGTCAGAGAGAGCGTCCCGAGAGTATTAAATTAAGTTCTCTTTCACATCTTATTGCGCTTAAACTGACAAATACACACAAAGTTCACAAAATCAAGTCACCTTTATTTATACAGCGCTTTTTACAATACAGTGTTTCAAAGCAGCTTTACAGAGATAACAGGAGAATAATGCAACAAAGTTTGTTTCTAGAAGAGAATAGCATCACAGTCCAGCTTAAGTCAGTCAGTGATGCGTCATTTTCATGGAAAAACAAGGAGAAAAGTTTGTCTCATGAATATATTCATAGGCGTGTCAAACTGATTTTCACCGAGGGCCACTTCAGCATCAAGGGCCGGTTGCAACGGTACGCCTGTACAAATGTCACTTCTCCTTAACATATTGTTCAATAACTGTCTCTTTATTTCATTTTTACTTATTTAGGTTACAAATTTTGTGCATTTGCAGTGCATTACTGCGCTGTTATTTGAACATAAATCCTTTTAATTTGTCAGGTTAAGAAACCCACATTAATTTAATGAATCTGATTTTTTTTAAACAAGCCAATAAAATAAAATAACCACACTTTTATTTCATGTAACACTAAACTTGGACAGAAAATAGGCCTATATTTAAAATAATATAAAATATCAATATATTATTCTTCATCCACTATGTTAACAGTGTTGCTCAGCCTTACACACACACAAACACACACACACACACACACACACACACACACACACACACACACACACACAGCGCACACACAGGACGCACGCACACACACACACACACACACACACACACACACACACACACACACACACACACACACACACACACACACTCGGTCTATGCTCTCGTGGCCCACGTAAAATGATGTGTAGGCCTAGTAAATAAAATGTACTACCATAACATTCACTATCATTCTGTTCTGATATGAAATATTTCAGTGAGTTTATGATGGAGCTCATATGAACATCAGTAACAGTCACACTGACCTGATATAAACACGTGTTATTAATGTGATGATTATGTGAGGCTGAACTACAATAATCAACATTAGTCAACATTATTCACTGGGTTTCAGCGGAGGCTGATGCATACATAATATAATATCCTTAGATTGGGACCTGGAAAATACTTTATCTACTTCATCTTCATCTTTAGGTGGACCTGTGTGAGATGATGTGGAGCAGAACAACAACATCAGTGCCTTTATACATGTGTGTGATACACAACCACTGATGGAGAAAACAAGCATTTGTGGACTTTAGACTCAGAAGAGAAACTGACGTTTTATCTCCCTATGATTAGGGCTGAAATGAAAAGCTCAGTTAGTTTAAGACTATAAATAAATGCTTTAAATAATTTCCAACACGTGTGTAATGCTTACGTCCACTGGATGCTGTCTCTGCTGCTGTAATCTCATCCTCATGTTTAATGCCGAAACCGAGTGTGTGATCATCGAGGTCAGAGTTGTCAAGTTTAGTGTTTTTAACTGTGAAGGAAACATGAGGAACACTGAACAAAATAACTAAAAGTATTTTACACTAATCATAATAAAGTTTCAAATTATATTGCCACAAAATGAAGCACAAAACTCATAAGGGTCTGATGCATATGCTGTAAACATGTTATTCTAAAAATGTTTGTAAAAGTGAAACTAACCTGACTCATGAACGGGAAGAGAGTCACTCTCGGGTTCCACTGAAAAGGGGACTGAAATGAAAATAGCAGTTAGTGTAAGACTATAAATAAATGCTTTTAATGATGTCAAATACTTGTGTAAATAAAATGCATACTTCTACAGCGCACTGCAATAATAGGATCCTCATGTTTAATGCCGTAGAAACCCAGTGTGCGATTCTTCTTCAGTATCTCAAAGCCGTAGAGAAGAATAGTGTCTGCAACTGTGGAAGAAACACGAGGAACAGTGAACACACACACACACACACACACACACACGTGTCAGAGAGCGATGTTTTAGCGACACTAAAACGGCATGCACAGCACAGTTATTTAAACTGACACACAGGGAGCAAAACCTCTTCTCAAGTCTCCAAAAGTCTAAACACATGTTCTGCTTTACACACATTTTGCAATTCAAAATGGCAATTTTTACATGCACTGAACACGGTTCTTACAACAACAATGAAAGACTTTGCAGAGAGAGGAAGAGGAAGAGGGAGGGGGAGAATGAGAGTGAGAGGAAGAGTGAGAGGAAAAGTGAGAGGAAGAGGAAGAGGAGTAGGTGAGAATGAGAGGCGGAGGAAGAGTGAGAGTGAGAGGAAGAGTGAGATGAAGAGGAAGAGAAAGAGTGAGAGGAAGGGGGGTGAGAATGAGAGGCGGAGGAGGGGTGAGAGGAAGAGGAAGAGAAAGAGGGAGAGGAAGAGGAGGGGGTGAGAATGAGAGGCGGAGGAAGAGTGAGAGGAAG